AAATTATTTTTAATTAAAATTAGTTGTATTTTAGCCTGTGTTGGTGTCAAATTAAATGTTACTGTGAGAGGGAAACTGGATCACTGCTGCCAACACACACACACACCACAGTGAGTTCACCTTTTCGAAGCGGTCGTCCAGCAGGGTGAGCTGCTCGTTCCTCCTCATCACAGACGACGTCATCGAGTACTCTGTGAATCGACTCTTCGTCTCCTCGTCCATGAAGAGAAACTCTCGTCCGCGACCGCCCCCCTCCGCGTCCTCGTCGCCCGAAAGCCCGCCCTCGGAGTCAAAGTCGCCCTCCTCGTCTGTGTCCTCCCACTCATCATCATCGTCGTCGTCGTCGTCACCTCTGCCACAGGTTAAATTCAGTGTTTAATGTGGAACTACATCTTATTGGAACATTTTCTCCAATTGTTTAGTAATAAAAGGAATTTCAATTAAATCTGCTAACGTGTGGATCAAGATAATGTTCATTGAGGGATTTTGTGATGTTTCATATTATATACAAGTGTCTGCAAGTATCAATTGAGTTATCTCAAGAAAATGATTGTTACATCAAACCTGTCAGCAAACAAAAATATTTCAGAATCCCTCAAACGAAGAAGCCTTTAAAAGGTGAGAAAAGACCTCAAATAACAGAAATAAGATCTATTTTCAGTGTCTTACTGCATGTTCACTGCGCCGCTCGCAATGTTTGCTTTCAGGATGAAGTCGTCGTCTAGGAGGTTGTCGGGGTCGTCGTAGTCGAAGTCTTCGTCGAGAGCAGCCACAATGTCGGGGTCCATGTCGAGCCGCGGTCCTGAAGGGAGGAAACACACGAAGGGATGAGGAACGAGATGCTGACGTCTGAACCCGAGGGCAACTTTAAAGCTGCTTCACATGACGGGAACAACAGCGAGAGGTGAAAGTAAAGCAGCCATGAAACTGGATATATTCAGTTTTAACATGAAGTCGAGGCAGAAAGGGAAACCAAAAAGCTGCTTTTGTCATTACAGTTAACCTTGGAAGTATCTGATATATTTTTTACTTAAATATAAAATCACATCACACAGTTTCATTGTTTTCAGTTTCAACTGGACTTTTTGATTCAACATGATTGAACAATTCAACACGATATAATCCGAACGATGAGCTGCGTACCTGAGATAGGAGCGGCTTTATTCAGAAGTCCCACCTCCTCCTCGAACTCTGAGGCGAACACTGAAGACGGCAGGTTGATGGAAGCTGCCTGTTCATCAAACAACAACAACAACAACAACAACAATCATTTCAGAGCTTCCACACAAGGCGCACAACTTCAGAGGAACGTGAACCTTGAAGCTTGAATTTCCCTCGGGATAAATAAAGTATCTATCTACCTTAGTAATATTAATAATACTACTATGGCTGACATCTAAACCAGCTACACAGAGAGAATCCTTTTAAATAATGCTGAAAAAGTCTTCAACTGCAACAACAAACAGCAAAAGTAACATTTTGGAGCCTCGGTTCAGAGGGTTATCGGTAGAAATGTGAATGTAAAATGTCTTGTATAACTTCCATCCACACAAAAAGACTATTCTGTTCTTTAATGTTCCACCAGCTACTTTTTCACCAAACTACACTGAAATCTAAAGTCATAAAAACACAACAACAACAACAAATTTTCTATTCCAACCTACTTATATACTTTATTTATCCCGAGGGAAATTCATGACCGAAGATAAACCCTGAGTCAACTTACAGCAACGACCTTGTCGGCGTCTCCTTCCTCTTCGTTCTCCTGCTCCTCATCCCGGAGATGTCTCCTGTCACTGTGCGAGGGCCCGGCGGCCACCAGCTCGGTCGTGGCCGACGCCTCCTTCAGGTGCTGCAGGTAGTCGTAGTCGTCGTCGAAGAAGACGCCGAACTCCCTCTGCTCCTCGCGCCTCTTCTCCACTTCCACCTGAAGCACACAACAACAAGAAACACGTTTATTTTTCTGCTCATTTTTCTCTTTAAAGCTCCGTGGACTCGTCGTGGTCACCCGTTTGGTGGCACCGCAGTTACCTTGGCGGCGGGCAGGAGGACGTGCTGCGGCGCTTTCTCATCTGCAGCCAGCGGGTCCCTCTGACTTCTGTGGACAAGGTGAAAGGTCACGGCCTTCTTCTTCTCAATGAACGATTTCTTCTTTCGATGAGGCTGGAGGAGAGAAACAGAAGATTAATCTGGGTGGTGAACAACGTGACAGCCGTGGAGTCGCAGCAGCTTTCCGCAAAGTCCTTCTTGAACAAATACTGTTAACAAAATACACTATTTTTCTGTTTTCGCTATTTAATAATAACCAAACGAACAAGAGAAGATCCGGATAAAGTGAAGCTGAACAGACCAACCTCCTCCAAAGTCTCCAGCTTGTCAAACTGTTACAGTATTTTGACAATCCATTAATCCAACAGCTCATTAATCAAACACACTGGTTCCAGCTTCCTTTCCCTGATTTCTATCATTTTAAATGACCTACAACCTACAACAAAACCTCATTAAACCACATTACATTGTACTGCCCCTCGTTTAAATCCACCACGGATGACTCTGCTGTACAATCTCGTTTTGAATTGGCCTTTAATGTGAAGTTAAACCACTGATTGTCATTAAGAAGATGATTTCTGTAACAAACTCAAAGTCTAATAACTGTCTCTGAGAAGCCAACAGCTGAGTTAACCAGCTCTAAAACACAAAAAGCAAAAAGGGGAGAAACTAAACTTGCATTAATTATCATCATTAACCTTAATAACAACCTTAAATGTAGTTATTTTCCACCACTAAGGTGATTTTATTGATGGACACACAGCAGACACGTTAGCCGCTGTTAGCTCACGAGGTTAGCACACGTTATAAACGCTGGCTTACCATCTTGTGACGGAATCTCTGACGGCTTTATTTGACTGGTCGGATTTTAAAGATCATTAAATGTGAAACTACAACAAGTTTGTTGTTGTAAAGAGCCGTTTTAACCCAGAAATGCTGGTTGTTGTTGTTGTTTGTTTATCCACGTTGGATTCTCCTCCACCACGCTGCGGCTACCATTACTGGAAGGAACCATCTCAACGCGGGGGGGGTTTGTTTTTAAATATGTATGAATATGTTTAATATGGAGAGCTTATTTTATATATTTTAATTGCTGTGACTCATTTTTATAATTTATGAATGATTATAAATCAGTTTGTGTTAATAATGTAATTCGCGTTACTGTTAGACTGTGGTTGTGATCCCTCCACATTATGGATTGTTGGTACAGTCCTAACAGCTCTCATTAACTGTGTAGTTGCCAAACGACTTTAATTACTGCCCCCTGCTGGACTGGACACTGTGCCACAGGGTTGACACAAGAAATACAAATAATACAGCCTTTTTCCTCTGCTAACATAGTTAAATAAAGTTATATATATGTATATGTATATA